ACTAGGGTTTAAGGCAAAGAGGCTCCATAATCGACTCAAGGGCTGATACTTTATGCTTCTTAAGACCATAATATGCTTAGATCCGAAGTAGCAACTTCAGATCTGGCTTCTAACTCAAAATGGGTAGCTAATCATGGCTAGAAAACCCCCAAAACTCACAACCATACTAGATCTAAAGGAGAGAACGACTTAATACCTTCAATAACTCAGAAATTTTCCCAAAATCTTTAGATCTAAGGCCAATCCTTGAAGCTTCAATGATTCCCCTTCTTCTTCTTCCTTTAAATCACCCCAAAAATGGCTTGGAAGCTTGAATGAGCAACAATGGTGCTTAGGGTTCGATGTTCTGAGTGAAAGAGGTAGTAAAGGAACCCTAGGGGAGAGAATGAGACGTTTAAATAGGCCCCAAGTCCCGAATTTAGGGTTTTCCTCGCACAGACCAGACTCACCGCGTCCCCTTGGCCGACTCGCCGAGTCGGTCACTTACTCCTCGACCCGGATCCCGCTCGGACTCGCCGAGTTCCTCCTTGGACTCGCCGAGTCACCCTTTAAAATTAGGGTTTTCTTTCCTTTCTTTGCCTTCCAGACTTTGGGTGTTACATCTCATCTGTTTATCACACATTAACTATCTACCCACGTTCTACCTAACATATTAGTAGATAAAAATATATATTTTTATACATAGTTTAAAACCTATATAGCATTCTCATTCAATACATATTCCAAACAATAGATGAGACACATACACATAACATGTATTTCATAGAGAATAAATCATATCTATGAGATAGAAGAAAATGAATATACATTCACACATATAACAACAAAATATACACATAACACGTATTTCGTATAAAATACTTCATAATTATGCGTTAGAAGAAAGTGACTAAACACTCACTTGACCAGAAAATGATCGGACATCACTACGGCTTGTAGAAGTAGTATTCTTCGGTAGATCTGGAAGATCTTCACAAAAACCAGGCTCCTCGCGGGCAGAGCTGCGGCTAAGGAATTTTACTTCTCGGGATCTTCGGGGTTTCGGGACTTGCTTTGGGTCTCGAGAATGATATCGGGGCTTCAGGATATTTCTTGCACGCAAAACGAGATAAAAACGCGAGAGAATGAGAGAAATGAGCAATAGAACTCGGCTGCACTCGACATCTATTTATAGGAGGCTGAAACCCCGAATTACGCTGAGCGTAAATTACGTTACGTTGGGCGTAATGTGGATAAGGTCGCTGACTCCCCCCCTTTGGATAATATCAGGTATTTATAATTAAATTTAATATTTTAATTATTTAATAAACTTCAAAATTTCATATCTTCTTCATACGAAATCCGTTTTCAACGTTCTTTATATCCACGCGTAAGTGAGACTACGCTCTACAACTTTCGTTTAGACTTCGTCGGCTAATTTTAACTTTATTTTTATTATTTATTTTTAGTAGACTATGACAGGAAAGCTCCGTTATAAATTTATAACTTCTTCACCCGACGTCCGTTTTCGTCTGTCTTTTTATCGTTTCACTACTATTAATGAGATCTTTGATTATCGTTTAGATTGTTTCGGCTAAAAAGCGCTAGGTCTCAAATCGAGTATTCGGGTTGCATACTGTTAAGTCGAAACATCGGAAAATCATAACCTCCTCATACGAAGTCAGATTTGGGCATTCTTTTTATGCACACTCTCAGTTTAACGAACTCTACGACTTTCATTTAGATCACTAAGGCTTAATATCGCTCTAATATAAAATTCATTTTTTACGTCATTCAACGTCGCCGGTTCTGTCGCGAAACTTCGACATGCCATAACTTTTTCGTTATAACTCAGATTTCGACATTCTTTATATCACCGGAATTCTTGTTTCAACCACTACATCTTCATGCAAAGATATCAGGCTTATCCGACACTTTAATTTTGACGCTTATATTATTCTTAATTCATTAAATTATAATAGTTAAGAAAAATACACATAATTCACATAGTTCACATAATACTCAAATATTTCATTATTAATACTTCAAAAAGAGTTACAAGGATTAACCTAGACTATTACATCAACAATAATGGCTATACTGGAAACGCGGGCGTTACAATTTGTATGCTAAATTGATATAATACATTGATTATTTTGAATACAACAATATATTTGAAATCTTTACAAATATATGTTTTTTTTAACTATATCAATGATGTTGTTGTTATCTCTTATATAATAAATCTTATAATAAGTTGATATAAATATTATTTGTTTTGAATAATATGATAATGTAGACATCTTTTAAAATTTATAATCACAATTGTCTAAATGACCTCTACCTGCAAGTTACTAATAAATAAAATAAAGTATAATATATGGTTTAAAAATATTTATAGTTGTTATGATTAATTAATTTTAAAAAGTTTATTTGCTTATGATTTTATTTATTGTCATTTTAATTATTTAAAACATAAAACATTGTTTTTGTTTTTAAAGGTAACAATATAATTTTTGTATATAATATTATTTTTAACTATTGTTGTTGTAAGTTATTTAAAATAACGTATTTGAAAACTCTTAATTATTTTAATTTTGTTTCGGAAATCTAACTTTTTTTAAAATTTATTTGATGAATATTGTTTATTTCTTTGATTGTAATTATTTAAAACAACAAACATTGGTTTTGTTTTTATAGATAATATTATAAATTTGTATATAATATTACTTTTAACTATTTTTATTATAAGTTATTTTTAAGCTACTTATTTGAAAATTCTTAATGATTATAAAAAGTATTTTCATGGTTTTTTGTTAATTTAGGATTACAATTTAGATTTAACACTATAAATTATAACTTTTAACTATTTATAAAATATTCTCGATTTTTTTCACGTTTAACTGAAATTTTATTTAACTTAACAATTTGATATTATATTGAAATTAATAATTGAATTTCCATAAAATCATAAATTATACAAAAGCTGTGACTTTAAAATGATAATTGATCACATACGGTAACATATCCAAACTAATAAGTTAATTATAATATGTTAAAAAGTTAAAGTCATAATTTATAAATAGAAGTAAAATATGATATTTTAATATTGTAGTTTAGTTAATTTAAGATTGTAATTTAGTTTTTGCATTAATTTAAGATTATTAACCAATTGATAATAATTATTAGAAATAATTGAAAAGTCATGGAAGTTTCAAATGTATGTGATACAAGCAAAAATGCATTTTTATGTTGAAATTTATAATTTTATCCATGGTTTTTGGTCATTTTTTATATATTGGCATATTAAAATTGGAGCCTACGACCCTAAAATATTGGAACCAATTCTGGAATATGTTATGTCAGTTTTTAATATTCCGAAACTGCTCCTAAAATTGTCGATATTGGGGTTCTAATTTTTTTTTATTACGGAATAAATTGATTGACTATTACAATATATGAAAAAATAATTAATCATATAAATTATTGATAACGTAAATACAACAAATTAAAAGAAAAATTAAAATTATGAATAAAAGATTAAAGATGTTTATGATTGATGTCAAAATAATCTCTAATAGATTCTAACCAAACTAATAATAATTATAAAACCCAAAATGAGGTTTAGTCCTCATATGTTATTAGAATACATAAGTTAAAAAATAATTAAACGATTTGTATTTTATGTGAGTCTCATGCCATTATGCTTTTCATTAGCATAACATAAAATTAGAGGTGCAAATTTGAATGGCTAAATCTGATTTCACTTTTAATTACCTTACATCTAATCATAAACGTCTCGTTTGAAAAAGATCATGAATGATTAAACGACTTATAATCAAATAACAACTTGTAATGATATATCAACAACTCAAATTTACCAATTTTATGGAATATAACAAAATCAATTTTAATAAGCTTTATCAACTACATAATTGTCATCTATATGACCATTTCCATGTAAGCGATTGTGAACATCCAACACAACAAAAAAAAAACCTATAAAATTAAACATCGACATGCACTCCATTACATCATCCTACAAATTACACCCATTGAATCTTTTTAAAAGTCTAGTTATACAATTTGAAGTGAAATGAACATTGACTTGCACCATCTTGCAAACTTCATTATAATTTATACAACATGGACCATTGGGTTTAGACTTTAGACGGTTAGTTGCATAGCTTCCTTTTGGGACCCCATTGAACATGATTATAACTTCATGAAAAAAATGTAAAACTTTAAAACAAATTGAACCACCAAAATTTTAAAATCAAGATGCATGAACTACGTTAGTTGTATCCATGCTTGTTTTGTATTGTTGTTAAGTAGTCTTGCTGTTCATGTGAATCTAGAGATAATGATTAAAACATCTTGATATATAATATTTTTCATTCCAACAAAAATCATAATTATAGAGTATAAATTTAGATAATAAAAAAGAAGAAATAAAACAATATTTCTTACCATAAACTTTCATATTTCCTTCTCATATCATCTTCCTCTTTATTATTATTTATGCTCTCCATCGATAATATTTTTGTATGAAAATTTTAATCTACCTCTCAACCACTCACACAACTCTTTAAATCATTCTAATAAAAATCTATCATTGTGAACTATATATATATATATATATATATATATATATATATATATATATATATATATATATATATATATATATCAATGTTAATCAATGGGTGTCATAAGAAACATTAAACAACATAAGTTAAAAAACCACTGAGTGATCGTTGTTAATTAGATACTAGTGAAAAGTTATGTATATTTAAATAAATATTATGAAATCATTATTATAAAAAAATTATGAAAAGACATGGAAGTTTCAATTGAGTGTGGTAATAGAAAAAATATATTATTCATAAGGCATATGAAGGATTCTAAAGAGACTTGTCCATGGACCAATATTTAGGCTGAGGAAGTGGTGCCACACTCCCTCATGAAACCACAATGCTATGTAAGCGACATATCAGCAATTACCTCAAAAGTGTGGTTTCATGTCACACCCAAGAAGTGATGCCCTACTCAATTTAAAATGTTTAAAAAGAGAGGAGCGCTCCCTTGGAGTGCCACAGTGCGGTCTCTACCGCACCAAAACCGCAATGAGAGGACGGTATTCCAAGTTGATGTGGCAAGAGAGTGTACCCTCTACCGCACCCAAACCTTATTAAACCCCCGAACCTCACTAAACCTTGTAAGAAGGCGTAATTTGAAAATAGTTTGAAAAGTGGGCCAAAGGCGAGAAACGGGCCAAAACACAAGCGCCATCTTGGTAAGTTTACGCTAAATTTTTAAGATTAATACAGTAAATCAGTAACATGATTCAAATACTGATAGAATGGCAGGAGGACCGCTCCTTTGCATCGGCGATCTGTTGAGTGACGTCGGAGAAGAAGACACCACCACCACCACCACGGATGAGATTATACGTAACAGCCACCGTCATAGTTCCGTCGAAGATGCTGATCTTGCGAATCAGCGTATTCAACCTTCTGATCTTACCAAACTATATCAGGTTTCTCAACCTCGCTTAGCTTTCTCTATTATTGGAGGGTTGATATACATCCATCTATCTGTATACTATTAAAATAGCTTGTGACAAAAAAAAAAAATTTAGGGTTTCGATTTGAAATCCTAAACTGACGAACATCTTCTGATCCCCCTTTCCGAGAGAATAATAACTAACTCTAATGAACTGTAGATTTAGTATATCTTCTGAATAAGGCTCTAGTTTTGGTTGGCGAGGGTGTGTCTAGGGTAGTCATGCGTTCGGCTTCCTTCTGCCCCCTTTGACAATGGCCATAAAAAAATGGGACTCAATTTGTGATTGTGGAATTTTCTAGAATTGGCTGTAATTTGATATAATCTCACCTCCAATCGCAAAAACCTCTTGTTCTGTGGTAAAACAAATTAACCTGAAACTAATTTTCAATGTCAGTGCATCTTTTGAGGAGCATATGCATAATGCATACCCACATAAAACTTGAAATTTGACACATAAATAGCTACACAATAAATTGATACCGTAATAGCCCTAAGTAATCATGAAACATTGATAGGCATTCTAGGGTGGTAGGCATTTTTAGAACGCAAGAACTTTAAAGGGCCTGTGACTTGAATACTTAAGGAACTCCTTGTAGTTTACAACAGATGACATCCTTTAGCTAGTTTATAATATGAAAAGCTGTCTCAAAATCAAATCTCCTCGAGTTCCACATAAACAGCCGTTCATATTTAAAAAAAAAAAATTAGCCACCATGAACAGTTGACTTGAGTCAAATTCTTGACCTAAAATGTGTTTCCTTAGATAACCTACAAAAGTCAGTGATGAGAATTAAGAAAACAAAATTGTTATTCTGTTCATCTGGCACAACATATGAATATGATCAATCCTTTTGTATTACGAAAACTGTGAGTTCTACCCCCATGATGCTACAAAGTCATATGGATTGTTTCCTTATTCATTTCTAATACAAATGATTGAGCCTTCATGAATTTAGTTAAGTAGGATTATGAAATCACTATAGCCTAAATCCACAAAATTTACACAAAGGTGCCTCCTCTTTTTCATCTTATGCATAGGCCTAGGCCTACACAACAGAGTATCATGCTCTGTCAAAATGACTCGACATTTCTTGCTGAAGTTTGTGATTTATTTTCTTTGTTTTTACTAGTTATTATCTTTAATTCATATGATATTAATAACTTAGATGGTATTTAGTTTGTAAATTTATAATAATGCTCGTTTTACTCCCGCCTAGCGTACATACACATACTAGCTATAAGTTAATAGCTGAATAGCTAAGTAAACATCCACCTTTCAAGCCTCATAAATCAAAGTATTTCAAGTTTTTCTCTAAATCAATAACTTGTGGCAGGTTGATTAATAGTATAAATATATCAGCATATTGGTAATTTATGGTACTAAACGAGGGTGTAATTATTATCAAACTTTATTCGATTTGTTCATTCATTCTTACCGTTGGTTTACTTGTCCCTGTGTTTTTAGGAAAGTTACAAATGCTTGAATGATGCACTTAGTGGTACATCCCACTCATGGACAACTCTTACACTCGAGGTAAGAACATATATACATCTCTCTCTCTCTATATATATATACACACACACACACACACACACACACACACACACACGATTAAATTCTGTTCGTTTTTCACTCGTGATTTCTGCATTGAGACGACACCTAAGTAATGTTTTTATTTTTATTTTGTGACAGCTATGTTTGGCGCTAGAAACCACAAACAAGTTGATTCAATCGAGTGACTCGCGTGCTTTAGAGGCATTGGAGAAGATTCGGGAGCTTGAGAGGATTACCAAGAAGGGAAATTCCGTAATTAAAGAAGCTGAATTCATCCACAATGCCATGAAGGACCACTCGAGTCCAAATGCGCATGATTGATTTGTAATAGTGTCTAGGGTGTCTCTATATAATTGATATGTAGCTGGTTGCAAGGTGTTGGGGGCTTAGAAAATGGTGGATCCTCAGGATTGAGTTCGTTAGTCCTCGTAAATATTTGACTTTGCGTTTTCTTTTGAACTTGATTATATATATATATATATATATATATATATATATATATATATATATATATATATATATATATATATATATATATATATATATACTAGTAAGGTCAGTAGGGCCGTGATTACAACGATTATGGTATTTCTTGTAGTAATGTTATGCAATTACATCAGGAAAAGCGGAAAAGTTGAAAGTACAATGCTAAGATCGTCACCCTCATACTTCATCTATTGCAATCCATGAAAATTAAAGAAAGTAAAATTGGTGAAAAGTTGTTATACAATTAAAGGATTTGTTGAACAAACCTATATAATATGAAGAATAAAAGTAGAATGCTACAATAAACAAAGCGTCGTTGGTGAATTTAATTCAGTAATTTCCAAAATGAAGTGTTTTACTCCTTTCCATCGAAAACATGAAGAATGGAAACAACTACACCAGCAACAAGAGCGTGCCATCTTTTTAAAATTGAACGTTATTTTTGTTGTAGCCAATTCATCATTGCTAAAATATAAATCCAGTAAATACCATGGATTATGCCTGGTCATGAAGTATTCATGAAATACTAAAAAACTATAAATAACCACACCTATTGTTTTGACCTCATTCTCATAACGATTGAAACTCTAAATAGTCGACGTATATACCTTTACCTAACAAACGAAACTTCTTCGATTGTGGACATTAATGATAACGATTCTTTTGAACCTTGTCATCCAAATTCGAGACGCTTAACTAAGATTTCGAAGAGAAGAAAACGTTGCAAACAAGTCTGTGCTCGTATGATAAGCTTCAAAATTGCATGTTATATGTTGCATGAAACTTATACTAATATTTGATAACTATTGGACGGATATGTTAGGTTGCATGGTTCTAGAATTAAATGGTTTTAAAATGTCTGATTTAGCTATATTTCACAACTATTGTTTGAGTCCAACCATTGTAGGGTGAAATCTTTCAATAAAAAGACCGTTTAGTTTTAGTATCATTTAATAATATTCATTGAATAGTTAGTTAAACATAAGTAGAAGTTTCTTCCTCAGCATGTGGTAAGGTAGGATGGAAGGAATTCTTGTCAGAATTCTCATTGCCATACATAGGACCTTTAGAAATTCCTGCGAGAATTGATCATGTCGTGTATCAACTCAAGTTACCTTAGGAACTCAATAATGTGCATAACACTTTTCATGTAATAAAACTTAATGAGTGTTTGCACGATGACACATTTTCTATCCTTCTCAATGAAGTTTATGAAAGAAATCTATGAAACCAAGTGTAACGCCCGTAGATCCGGACTAGTTAATTTAGAGATAATAGGGATCGAAAACGACTTTTCGACAAAAGATTATTTAGAATAAATAATCTTAACCAAGTTTTAGAATATGTCACAAGGTTTCCGTACATATAAAGAACGCCGAAATCCGAGTTATAACGAAGAAGTTATGGCTCGTCGAAGTTTTACGGCAAAACCGACATGACACCGGGAGACGTAAATAGTGAATTTAAGATAGAAGACTTTTTAGCCTTAGTGATCTAAACAAAATTTGTAGTATATATGTTAAACCGAGAACATACAAAAAAAAGAACGCCCAAATCTGATTTCGTATGAGGAAGTTATGATTTTTCTAAGATTCGGCTTAGCAGTGCACGACCTGAAACTCGAATCTGAGTTCGAGCGGTTTTTGGCTTACCCGACCTAAATGAGAGTTGAAGATCTCATTAATAGGAACTCAACGGTAAAAAGATAGACAAAAACGGAGTCCGTATGAAGGAGTTACGAATTCTTCGCGGTCATTTAACAGTCTAAACGCCTCCTACTGTTAAATTTAAGATCGGTCGATAATTAGCCAATGGAGTCTGAATGAAAGTTATAGATCTTGATTTTACCTACGCGTGGAAAAAAAGAACGTCGAAAACGGAACTCGTATGCGAAAGTTACGGGATTTAGAAGTCGGCAGGGTGCTTACAAAAGGGGTGACGTGGCTGAATATGGGCCAAGGCTTTCTCCCCAAGAAAAGCCATCAGGTGACGACACGTGGCACTGACTCGGCAAGTCAGTGAACCGACTCGGTGAGACCATCAGGAAATCACCCTATAAATAGAGGTGCCGGGTCTTGCCATTTCCTCACACCTTCAAACCCTTCTTTCTCTCTCTCTACACACACACTCTCTCTCTCTAAGCTCCCTAACCCCCTAAAAGCCTAGGTAAACCCCCTAGCACCCGAAGGAAGCTCCGAGGCTCCCGAAGTCCCGAGAAAAGAGCCTTTCGGCTCGGGAACGCTGCTCCAGCGAAGCCCAGTTTTCGAGAAAACCCGCTGTTTTGTCGAGGAAATTGTTTTAAGAGTAACGAAGTGCTGTCCGAGTGACGAGTCACCGCCTAATCAAGTGAGTGCATAGTTACTTTCAGATTACACATAGATATGAAGTATTTTATATAAATTATGTGTTGTGTGTGCATATTATCTGTATACTTGCTATCTATGCTGGATGGACGATTTTATTCACGTTTTAAATGATTTAAACTGTATATGTATTTTATATCTACAAATGTGTTGGGTAAAACATGGGTACATGAAATAGTTTCTGTGTGACAAAAATAAGATGATGAAGAGGTGATATAGACCATGAGGTAAGGGTGAGAGGTGAACCATGAGAGAATCCTTTTACCCAAGTGATGGCCTCGTCATCCAGCAGAGTATGGATGACAACCGCAGACTATTCTAGACAGTCCAGTGGACACTAGTAGGCTCGCAACCTGTAGGTGTTTTGAACTGTGTATTCACCAGGTGTACTCTAAAAACCCATCGACATGTATTGCGAGTGGATTCTCGGAAACGATACTGTCGATAAACGAGATAAAAACCCATTGATATGTATTGCGAGTGGACTCTCGAAAATGATATTGTCAATAAAACCCTGGCAGATGCACCTAAAGGACTCTACTGACAGGAGCGCCTAATAGAGAACCTCATAAACCCAACAGATGCACCTAAAAGGACTATTGCGGTAGATGCGCCCCATAGAGAATGTCACAATTTTGGCAGTTGTGCCTAAGTGACAGTGTAACAGCCCGGATTTCCAGGTATCTTTTATTCATATATTTTTTTGTGTTTTGTGAGGGGACTCGGCGAGTTGGAGCTTAAACTCACCGAGTCGGATCGCGGTTCTGGACGTGGGTTCGCACCTGGACTCGGCGAGTCCAAGGAATGGACTCGGCGAGTCCGCGCTGTTTGATGAAACCCTAATTTCCCGGTCCTAAGCTCTATTTAAAGGACCTTATGGCCCTTCATTGCGGCCACCTTGATCCTTGAGAGCACCAAAGCAGCTATGGGTTCCTGTGAGTGAGATAAGAGGCTATTGTTCACCAAATTTGTGTGTATTTGCAAGAAAGGAAGGGGGAAAGTCAAGCTAGAAGAGTTGGGAAATTGGATCTACTTCCATTTCGCCAAGGGAAGCTTCTTGAGGTATCTTTCAGAGCTTATTTCCGTGTTTTTGTTGATATGGTCAAATCTAGGGTTTCTTCTTGCCTTTTTTGCTTTGTAATTGAAGTGTGAGAGGTCCCATGGAGATATGGTACCTAGATCTGGACCTTAGCAGGTCCAGAAAGTCCCAAATGCTATGCTTTATGTCCTTCCTTTTGGGTTGGAGACTAGGGTTGCCATATTAGAGGTCATTTCTCCAAAAAGAGCCTTGTAAGTGTTGCATGGTAGCCAAGACTATGACTTTACGTGATGAATGAGCTTAGGAGGGCTAGATCTATGAGTGTATGGAGCGGATCTGACCTCAAAAGCAAGATTGAGTTGATGCATGGCATGGACTCGCCGAGTCTGAAGAACAGACTCGGCGAGTAGCATGAAGATTGTCCTTAACCACTCAGTGAGTGGTCCTGCCGAGTTATGGTTGACTCAGTGAGTCACGGAGAGTTAGAGAAGGATTGATAGGTGGACTGAGTCGAGCTGGAACTCGCCGAGTTGCCCTTGCGACTCGGCGAGTTGAGTCGCGGTGGCCCCGCGATTCATGACCAGGTGGAACTCGTCGAGTCAGGGGAGTACTCAACGTGTCAAAAGAGAATCCTATAGAGTTGGTGAAAACGCTTAGACTCACCGAGTCGCTCTAGTGCACTCGTTGAGTCCGGTCAAAGTTGACCGTTGACTGTTGACCAGAGTTGGCCAGTGTTGACTTGATAGGGATAGTCAACCTTAGTGGTAAAAGTATTAATTAGAGATGTATGATGTTATAGGAGGATTATAGCTCGGGGGATCGAGCACGAGTGATTTCCAGGATCCGCGAGTTATCGAGATATACGAGGTGAGTCTTCTCACTATACTATACTCGGAAGGGTTTGACTGTGTGATCGGAAGGTCGAATATGATATGAGATATATGCATTATGTGTGATAAGTTAATCGTTATATGTGCCATGTATGATATGCTTGATATGGGTCGGAAGGCATTATGTTATGGGCCGGAAGGCGTTGTAATATGGACCGTAAGGTTGACGTGGGTAGGACCGGAAGGTTTACCCAGTCGCGACGGAAGTCCCCTGAGACGCATGGACCGGAAGGTCAGGGCCTGGAAAGGCGTATGTGCGTAGGTTGTATTTTGGGGAACTCACTAAGCAATTATGCTTACAGTTGTCGTGTTATGTGTTTCAAGTACTAGCGAGGACCGTGGGAAGGCGCCGGTGTGATCGTACACATACTCGGGGAAAACTTTTTTTATGATCTTTGTGATGTAATCGGTCGTGACAATATTGTTTACATTGGAATTTAAAATATTACTCGATGTTTTGATGTTTGCAAAAATGAAAAAAATTGGTTTTAAAATTTACGTCGTTACAAGTTGGTATCAGAGCCTTGGTTTGAGGGATTCGGG